CTAGCTTGAGAAGGACCCTTGTGGGTTCAGATGTTTCTAATCATCCTACCTGAAGGCATCTGTATACGTATCCTCTCGCTTTCTTCACCTGCTCTCCAGATTAAATATGTGTATTTTTTTCCATTTGTCAAACTTTCTTAAAATTAACAAGCACTTCAATAGAATTGATTATGTCCAGACAAGTGGTTGGTTACTTATTGTTGAATTTTATATATACTCACGATTTTAACATATTTATTCCTAAATTTTAATTTATTATAAAATAAAATCGTTCGCAAAATAACTCATTTTCTCATACAAGAATTAACTTAATTAAATGCGCCAAAAAAGCCAAATTAAAACTTAGTACTAAACTTATATTTAAGTTAAAAAGGACATTAATTTATTTTTTTGTTCATGACATGTTACATGTTTTATATCTTAATATGTGTTTTCTTACACTAAAGGTACATGTAAAAGTTATCCAATCTGTAACACATATGATTTAGCTAGTTTCTTTTGGAAATATGTAACCATATAAGTTGGCATTACCTTGACATTCTATTTTCAGGTGGAAGGAGTTTTGGCTGTCCAGAGAATTCAGGTGCTGCAGGAACATATTATGATGCTGTGCCTCGACGGCTTATTGTTAGCAATAGCAATCTGTCTACAAACACTGACACACTTCTCCTGGAGTTTCCTAAACAACCACTTTGGACAAATGTTTACATTCGGAATCGTGCCAAGGCTTCTGTTCCTTTATTTTGGAGTCGTGTTCAGGTCATTAAAAATCTTGCTCCCCTATTTTCTTAAATATATTCTCTACATGTCTTCTTTGCAGGTGATATCTTTCCCTTCCTCTTCAACCCTATCCCAAAGAAAGGGAAAAAGGAAATTGCATCTTTTGAAGAATTTCGTAATCGTGCACGTGAACATGTTATTCTTCTTAGCATGATGTCTTCTGTTAGTGACTTGATTTTTTCCATTTTGGCATTTTTTTGGTCTTAGTTAGCGTTAATTGGCTGTTCTAAAGTGACTGAAAGGTTATCGGGAAACTTTGTACCTGGTAATGACTAGTTCATATATTATGTGTCGTTGAAATCATTTTAGATTGACTTAACTTGGAACTGTAAAAATAAAATCTAATAATAAAGTTGAGTAATTTTCTCTCAGTCTATGTTTTGGGGATAAAATGGTCCATCAAGTTGTACTGTGAACTTGGTGCCAGACTAGGTTTTGTTTAAACCATGTCAACATCAAATCTTCTTTTTTTTTTTTGAAATAAAAAGTGTAAAATTCTATTAACATGGTACTAAACAATCGGAGGTACCGCCCCTATATAAAATCTTTACAATGTAGTTAGCGAATCAATGACATGCGCATAATTCACATCACTAATCATGTCATGGTTGCAACCACCTATTTCTCAAATTATACAAATCATTAGTTTTACCCTCGAAAACTCTAGAATCTCTCTCCTTCCATAGAATCCAAAACAAGGATAAAAGAATTAAAATTTTCAACTTCCTCTCTACATGCATCCCTTTCCAAGCCCACAATTCCTCCCTAATAGATCCAGCCATCATCCAGTTAACACCAATCATACTAAAAATAACATTCCACAACTCAGAAGCCACAGGACACCGCAGCAGAACATGCACACAGCTTTCCTCATTAGCCATACACAAATAGCACCTGTTTGGAATGGCCAACCTCCTAGTTTTAAGTTTATCAATTGTCTAGATGCATTCTCTACTTGCTTCCCATATAGAAAAAGCAACTCTAGGAGGAACTTTCACCTTCCTGATCTGCCTAGAGGGAAAATCAAAACTAATCACATTATTTTTGTCTGTTAAGTGCTTGTAATAAGATTTGACTGAGAAAACACCACTTTTATCCAACTTCCACAACACCTTGTCCTCCCCAGCAGACATCTGTTGAGCAGCTAATAAAAGTAGCAAATTTTCAAACTCGCTGAGTTCCCAAGCCTGCAGATTTCTCAAGACATTGATCAGCCATTCAACACAACCATTATTAATCTTGTAAGCATCCTGAATCAACATATTTTTTGTCTGAGAAATGGAAAAATTCTGGGAAACCTCCTCATTAAACACATGTTATCTATCCAAATATCCTTCCAAAATCTGATTTATTGCCCCTACCAGCCTTCCACAGCAGATTTTCCAAAAAAATAGGCCACTGCATCAAGATTTTCCTCCATAAACTCTTTTCATGGGCTCTTCTAAGCCTTGTGACCCCACTGTTGTCCCACACAAGGTCACCCCAATGGATCCAAACAATCTGTCTCCATAATCTGTCCTCCTCAAATAAATAACGCCACAACCATTTCCTTTACGATGCCACATTTAAATTAACAATGGACCTGATTTCCAAACCTCCACACTTAGTCGGTTTTTTTATTTCTTCCCATTTAACCAGATGAAATTTATAATTCTCATCATCATCACCCCAAAGAAATCTTCATTGTATATTTTCCAGGTTTTTAGCAATATGCACCGGGACCGAAATTGTAAACAACTAATTGATTGGTAAGTTAGCCATGGTGCCCCTGCCAACCTCAAATCTTCTTGTTGTTATTCACATTTTAATTTAGAAGAAGTTTAGTTACTTGTTTTTTCTAAAATAATTAGTAATTTTATTTGCTTTAATTCTAGGTTTTGTGTAGTAGTACGAGTAAGATTTGGCTTTTGTGATATTAAGATTTTTTATATGGTTTGCATCTTTTTAAGTCTCTTGTCAGAGTTTCTGGTCCTAGTTGGACTATATCTTGTAACATAGTTTCTTTAGGCACAATTAGGCATGATGCCTAGTTATTCAATTCTTAGGTGTGATGTCTAAGAAACTATGGTGTGATATTTAAGTTAAACCCCTAATTCCAAGTAGGCAGATTGATGCTACTCTGGGCTGCATGCAATTAGATATGGGCCCTTGTGCAAAGTCCAGTAGTGTATGTTCATGTGGAACCAGCTTGACTTCATAGTATATTTTAAGCTTTATATGCATAATTGATAATTAATGTTCTAGTATGTTTATCTGTAGGGTCTGTTCTCCCTCATACGATCTTGTGCTTTTTAAGTATTTTTCACTGATTCTACATTCTCAATTGACCTGTTCTGTATAACATTGTCAACATGTATATATATTATATATATATATATATTTCTTTTACGGTGGTGATTTTGAAATATTATAGTTCAGAACCTCAGGTATTAATATTGTTTCTTCTTCTGGTGTCTACGCTGGTAATATTGAAATTCTTTCGGCAATATTGAAATTCTAACATGTGAAATAGGTTCGTGGACAAATTCACTTATCATGTGGTGCACTTCTGAGTTTTGGGCTTGCTCATTATGCCTCATCAGAGTTTGAGTTGATGGCAGAAGAACTTTTGATGAGTGACTCAATTATCAAGGCAAGTGACAGGCGCATCTCCTCTCCCTCTTGATTGAGGGTAACTATTGTGACCTTTAATGGATATGGAGTTGTGCATGCTAAAGATTCCAAATCCTTTTGAAAAAATTCATAGAATTTGAAATCTTAGGAATGATCCCTGAACGGGAAGTTTTACATAAGAAAACTGCCTTTTATTTCCACATCATTTTGAATAACATGTTCTCCATCTTCTAATACAGACCTAGTGACTCTAACTATAGTTTGCTTATGCTCTATGAAATCTGATTCTGAGATCCATCCATGGCAGATAGTTTTGCAACTCTCCTTATATGAAGTTTTGCAATTCTCCTTATATGAGGGTTGCATATTTATTTAAATGCCTTTCCTTTTAATTATATGTTCATTTTCTGAGGACATTTTCTATTCCAGATATATCATTCACCAAATTTGAGGGTGCTTATTTAAAAAAAAAAATTCAAGGGTTGCATATTTATCCTTATGCATTCCCTTTTTAATTATATGTGCAAAATTTGTTGTGTCAGTTCGTAATTTGAATAGTTTCCTCGTCCTCTCTCCACTCTTAATCTGAGGGATGATGTCGCCTTTGATAATCTTTTCTTCAGTCTTCAATTAAATTTGTGATGTGCCTTTGCCTTTATTTGCAAGAAAACATCTAGGTTACTGTTATAGATTATACCTCTACCATAATATCATCCTTATTGTTATTACTTTTAATTTAAACTAGATATATGGAGCCTTAAGAATGTCTGTTAAGATGCACTTAATGTGGAACTCAAAAATGCTTATTGATGGTGGTGGTGATGCAATAGTGGCAACATCATTGCTTGAGGCAAGCAATTTAGTGGTTCTCAAGGTAACTTAACTTCCACATCTTTATATAACTACAGAATGTTTATTAGTGGTGCTTCTGAAATGACTGCTAGCGAAAGTGAAATGATCCTCAATATTTGGGTTTCAGGAATCATCTGTTATAAGTTCCAATGCTAATTTGGGAGTCCATGGACAAGGTTTTTTGAATTTGTCAGGGCCAGGCAATATGATTGAAGCACAACATCTCATCCTATCATTGTTTTTTAGCATAAATGTAAGTTAAAGGCTTCTTTATTCTAGCTTGGTAACTTGTGATGTAGAATAATTGCGAGCAGCTGCTTATCCTGTGTGAAGAAGTTAATTGAATTGAATCCCCTATCCCGCCTCTTTTAAGGTTAGGTTTAACAAGGGCAAAAAATTGTATGATTTCTTGTTTGTTCATATACTTAAAATTATGTTTAGTCTTGGGGAACTGTCTTCTAGGACAACAAATTCTTGTCACCAGACCAGCCAATTTCAGTGTGTTATTTGATTTGACTTCTATTTCCTACTGGAAAATGATAAGTTTCAAATATTATGGTGATTTTGAGTAGATGGATGGACGAAGATGACTCTTTCATAGAAAAAACTCTCCATTTGGACGGACTGTAGATACCCTTTGGTCTTGGATATAATGTCCTACTCTTATCCATTATTTGTTTTGTGGCTAAGATTAACCTGCTAATTATCTGAAATACTATATGCAAAATTTCATATGCAGATAGCTGACAAATCAGTTAATGGTTACTGGCATATTTGTGTTGGCCCCCAAGAGTAATTTGTTATTCAGTTTCTGCTATGTTCTGGAAATTTTTTGTAGTGATATTTGTAATAATATCTGCATGATTTCTGTTTTTGTTCCTGATTTATTTTTCAGTTTTTTATTAGTTCTGAATTACTTGGTTCGTGACTATCTCATTGACATAATTTGTATGCTTATGTGCTGAATTCTTTTGGTACAACATTAAGGTTGGACCTGGTTCCACTTTGCGAGGTCCATTGGAGAATGCCAGAAACAATGATACGTAAGTTATATATATAAACTTTTTGTAACATAATCATCATAGCTATTCTGTGTCACTAAATTCATAAAAGTTTAATTTTGAATATTGGTAGGACGCCGCACCTCTACTGTGAACTCCAGGATTGTCCTGCAGAACTAGTTCACCCTCCTGAGGATTGTAACGTGAACTCTTCACTGTCCTTTACTCTTCAGGTGTTTCATTTTCCAGATTGAACATTGAGTAGTCCTGATCAATTACTGCTTGTTTTGTTGTTGTGAGGGCCTTGTGGTTTCTGATAAAAAGTTGGGTTCCTTTTTTACTGCAGATCTGTCGAGTTGAAGATGTGATAGTTGAGGGCAGCATGAGAGGATCTGTTATCTATTTCCACTGGGTTAGAGCTGTAATTGTCCATGCTTCTGGAGCAGTTACTGCAGCTGGGTTAGGTATCTCATCTATTTCTTTACTGTTTAAAATTTTACCACAATCATCAAATAAAAAAAATGCAAGAAGGGAAACATTTCTTTCAATTCATCACATAGTTCTGTCCTTAA